GATTATTTAATTTTTATTTATTTAATTTAATTATTATTTAATAAATCATAAATAATATATCACTACAATTTCTATTCAAAAATTTTAATGTTTAAACTGGTATTCTGCAGTAAATATTATATACATGATCAGGGTACAAAGAATTGTGGGTGCATGTGACATGGTAGTGTTTAGATAAGTAAATAAACTCATCTCAAGCTTCTTACTCATGGTTGGTAAAATCCTATCTTTCCATTTCCCCTGTTTATTTCATTCTTCTGTATGTTCAATCATCACCCTGTGCAGCAGAAAGCCAGAACATCTTCTTCCTATAGAATTGTGACCTAGTCCTCCTTGATCAATAGTTCCCCAGAATTTGCCAGCCTCTGACTTCTCTGACTCTGGGACCTAATATTCTATTCCCAACATCTAGGATTTTAAGCACTTAAGGAAACTAAAATAGTGAAGCCATATACCACAGTATAATAATAGTACATTATAATAACAATCCATCCTATATACTACTGACAAATGCCCTCAGAATATATCTGGCAATCAACTCATTCAGAAAACCATAAAGAAAATATCCCATGGAACAAATCTAGGCAGGGATTTGAAATATGTATAAAATTAATCCTTTGACTCCCCCATATTGTCTACCAATTTCATGTATTATCTTGTTTGTACAATTTATTTTTTTGTGGTTGTTAAAAACACAATTTTTGTACTGTGAAATACATAGAAAAATTCAAAAATGAACTTAAAATTACAGTGGGCAATTCTTTTCTCCACTTCATAACATTCTTTCAGTCATCAATTGTAAACTTGAGGAGAGAATCCTAGATGGTTTGATTTTGTCATACGCATACTCATCCATCATCCCTCTCAACACTTCTACCTTAAGTGAGAGGTTGGGTTTACACATATGACTTTCCAATGTAAGGTTACCATGGTCTTAAGAAAATTATATACTTTTCTATTCACTTTAAAGGTCTCCATATAGTACAATACCTTCACATCAAGTCTTGTGTGTGGATTTAAGGTGAAACTGTCACACCAAATGTATTTAAACTCAGGCTCAGGTGGGCAGTACTGAATTTAACAAATATTCTCTATTTCAGTGAGACAGATATCATCATGTTAATCTGAGGATGCACTGCAGAAATCTACCTTAAGTGTTAGACTTGGATATTTTATTCTGAGACTATGATTGAGAGCATCCTTCACTTAGTGTCACAGGTGTACCTGAAATAGTCAGAAACACCCAGCAGCAGAGGCCCAAGATTACCATCTGTCTCTCGTGAAATTGATGAAGTAAACATCCTCATTCAGTTGTATTCACCCTCGCTTTCACAGTACAGCTCAATGTTTGCTTCCTAGGGAAGATTCTGTTAGTAAAATAGCAGTCAGAGTCTCCTACCCCCTTTACCTACAGAATGCACATTATGTCTGATCCAGAAAAAGGATTTGCATATGCTTACAACCACTCAGTGTGAGTGTATAAACCTGCCAGTCAAAAATAACTATGAAAATAATCTTTATGTATGCAAAGATTGACCCACACACTGCTTTTCACCAACATGAGATACCATTTAATCCATAGAAACTGCATGAAATAAAGAGTTAAAGACAGAGAAAGCAAATGAGCGCTCAGTATCCAAGTATTGTGTGTGTGTGTGTGTGTGTGTGTGTGTGTGTGTGTGTGTGTGTGTATGTATGTATCTATATGAGTACAAAACCATTTACTGGAGCATGCGTAGCCTCTCAAGGACACAAAGTCTGATAATGAATCACTCCCTCTGACAAGAGACATCAGTTGCCAATAAGTACTCAGCTTGGAGTGGAACCCCCTGCTTTCCTCTCAGCTCCAAGTAGGGATTTTGTCTGTGCTCATGTGTTCAAGCCTTGTGGTCAGCAGTCATAGCCATGGTCATTTCATATGTGCAAGTGTCCTGTTGTATCCTGAAAACACTATTGCTGTACTCATCCCCTGCCTCTGGCTCTTAAACTCTTTCCACTACATCTTCTGATTCCTGAGCCTTGGGAGGAGTTGATGTAATAGACATGGCTTATTTAGGATTGAGAACTCCTCCAGTGTTTATTCTCTGAATGGTGGCCAGTTTTTGGTGTCTCCTAGTTTATGGTCAGCTAATACAAAAAGAAGATTCTCTGACAAGTTTGGGAGATGCAAAAATCCATCAGTTATACACCTGTGATTTGAAGTCATGTGCTAGACACCTTCGCTATGGCTCTTCCTCCATAGTGCTTCTGCTATTTACACCTTCCTGTTCCATAACTGTTTTAATATTGACATTGTCGGTGTAGCATTACTGAAATATTGATTGTGATCACATTGACTCTCAAGATAACTTTCAAAAACACAGTCAGTTTCATATCTTATTAATTAAGTTTCTATGACTGGAGGACTTCAAATTCAAGCATTACTATCATAATTGCTATTGTTTCCCTATTTAAATGACAAATCATTTTATTTGGATTCATTTAAAGCAGAGTCAAATTTTTTGGGGGGTGTGACTCACTGCCACACACCAGTATTAGGATTTGCTTTCTAGGAAAGTAACACGAGAAACAAGACTTTGAAAACAAAGAAACTTTAGATGGGAATAATGTTATCTTCATGTGTTTGTTTGTTTCACCCCCTCTCTCTTACTTCACTGTGAAGTAAATGTGATGAAAGGATTAAGTGTCAGGCATCCACCATTATACTATCTCCTCAATAGTAAAGTTAAAGAAAAATTATACACAGTTAAAGAATGGAAAGCTCTTCTTTCTGACAGAGTATTGTAAACATGTCTGCTTCTCAATTTTACATTTAGAAGAAGGAAGAAGGGATGGGAAACATTACTAAAGTACAAGTGGATTGACATTTGTCAGCCAAGTTTATCAGATCACTAATTACCAAGCAAGGGTACTGCAAACTGATAACCAAGTAAGGATACACATGAATGTGTCCTGTATGTTCACCTAATAATTCGTGCATATCAACCAGTCGTTTATTGAATTTTGATCATAAATGGTATTTGAATAAAGAGCAAGTACTTATCAAAGAAATTGATATTAACACAAACTACAAAATTTCCCCATTAATATAGACAATGCAGTTTTTCTGTTATTAATATCTGGGAATCCTTGACACTCTGATACTTGACCATGTGAATCACATCTGCAAACAAAATCGCCTTATATCAACAAGTATAGATAAAAGCAATAACATAGGATTTATTAAATTTAAACCTAGAGGACATGACATCCAGTATGAATTTTTGCTGGGAGCCAACCTAATTAATAGGTAATGAGTTTGAACAACACCATTACGATAACCCCCAGGCTTAAATCTGTTTCCTCTTCTTAGAGCTGTTTCTCAAATGGCCACCTGTGGTTTGGCCTGCAGGCCAGGATAGCACATCTCCTTGCCTGGCTGAGCATTCCTTTACCACCATGCCCACCCTGGAAAGCACCTCCCCCCAGCACTATAAAACCCCCCACCTTTCATTTAATAAACATAGAGCATGATCAGCATTTCTAACTTGCTCTCATTCCTTGTGCCTCCTGTCCTTCATTTGTCTCCCCCACCCAGGTTTCTGCATTGATAAGCATCCCTCAGGCCAGTTCAAATTCTGATGTCATCATGGTCCCACTCTCATGGAGTAATATAAAAGGGGAGGAGGACTGAGGATGATATTTCACTGTGCATCAGAAAGTGTTAATGAATTTGAGAGTTACTGAGTAAATGCCAAGGTATTGGAGAAGTGCTACCATCCTGGGATCAGACTCTGCACACACACACACACACACACACACACACACACACACACACACACACACACACACCAAAGAGAGACTAGCACTGGGGGTCTGGGTGACTATCACAGGTTGAAGAACAGTGTAGACCTCACTACAAAAGTGGAGGACAGAAAGATGTTGTCTATACTGATCTTGACTTTGAGGGAGCAGGGAAGCACAGTCATGTGGCCTGCAAGAATTCATTCCGGAGGGAGAAATGTCAGAGAACTCCTTTGCCTGTAATGATTCACCTAAGGGAACAAAGAGGAAGAGCACCATCTGTTTCTCCATTATGATGAGATCATGCTATGAAGGCTCTTCCCAAAACCTGCCCAGTTTTAGAAGACCAAGTGGCCATGGAGGATCATTTTCCATTTAAAGTAAGAAAGAAACCTAAGGCCTAAATCTTGTCCATTGAAGATAAATATTAATATATGTTAAATGAATTAAATATCTCTCGTGTGTGTGTGTGTGTGTGTGTGTGTGTGTGTGTGTGTGTGTGTGTGTGTGTGTGTGTGTTTATATACATA